TATGATAGTATTTGTAGAACAGGGTTGAGATGAGGGGTCCTTTGTGGTCTCTGAGTTTAGATGTTTTTCAGGCATTTTGTTAGCCAAACTAGGTGACATAACCTATATAGATACTGTAGGTTCCATATCTATCTGAACAGCAAGTTGTCTGGGCACAGTTTTAAGTAAAGATGCAACAACAACAACAATAATAAACATCAATATTAATCACAAAGTAGTAATACAATTAGTTTATCCATCTTGAAAAAATTTCAATAAAATTTTTTTATTATCTTTTTAATCTTTTTAGTTTCTAACCTCTGTTTCTGTCAGTTAGCTATTTGTAAAACAAGTCCCATTTTAAAAAGTATTCCAAATATATTTGGTAATCTTGCTGGTGGAAGATGCCACCTATAAAGCATTTTGTTTAGATTTTCCTTATATGCCATTGACATTGTTAATTTATGGTTTCTATCCCACAGTTTCTGCCATTTACCTAGTTCAATTGGATAACCAAAATTTCTAGCCCATCTTATCACTGTTTCTTTCACTTGCTCTTCTTCCATTTTAATATTTTTGTATTAAATATTTACTTTCTTGCATCTTTCTGATATCTTGATTGTATTTACACATGTGGCCAGCATGCCTTTTAACTTTTGCCCTTCTTGGGTGGGCAGGTTTTCATCCCAGATTTTGTTTTTGGTTAGGAGAAAAGGAGCTACACTACAAAAACCAAGGAATAGCTGTAGCACAGATATGAATCTTCCGATTGACGGAGGTTGACACCAAGCTCTGTGCCAAATCTCTGTGATACAAGATATTAGTGCATGTGGCTGTTAACTAGAAGGATGGGGGGTTTGAACCCACCCAGGGATGGTCTGATATAAAGTGATGGATTGTTATTGTTATTGTATGGAGCTTTTCAACTGAGGGCTTCAGTTCCCACACGGTCAATCCTTTTTCTTGCTAGAATTTAAATATTAATTTTGCCCCTGGAGTGTAAGATGGGGAGATGAATACCCATCACCCTTCTTGAGGATTTTATTGGCCACAGACCAGCACTGGAATGGTGTTTTTCTTAGGGACTGTTAATCTAATCAGGAGTAGCCCACACGGGGAGCTATCCAGGGTGCTGAATCATGTCTTCTACCACATGCAAGAAAGTTTACAGTGCTATTACTATGCAATCCAATGCTAATTTTCTTGAGGTTCCATGCTAGACCTCAGTACCATTAATGACACTACTACTCTTCCATAGTGTCTTCTAATTGTCCTGTAAAGGGTGGTTTAATTGTTTTTAAAGATTAATTGGGATTTGGGGGATAAATAATCAGGATGCTGCCAGGGGGCAAAGCTTCCAGTTTGCATGATGGCCAGAAGTGTTAACCCCTTGCGTCATGGAGTCTTTTCCTTCTGAAGCTCATTCTCTGAGCATTACCTGCTAGTTTTTTTTGGAATAAGCAGTTTGCTGCCTTTTGTGGGTCCCAAGATGGGATCTATACACATGGAGCTGTACCTCCCACTGGGAATTCTCTGGGTGAATCAATTTCCTACTCCTAGGGAGTGAACGTATTTGTCATGGCTGATGCCATAGTGTCAATCATCTTCTGGAGGTCCCACTGTCTGACTTATTTATAAAAATTATTGGACTCCCAACTTATCACATGATAACTCTGGGGAGCTTGCAACCGTAAAAGTAAATTAAATAAAATATATATACTTATGGAGAGGGTGGGGTCAGGATGTGGCAGAGTTGGGATCAATTAACCACTTCCACTGTGATGCTCCCCCATTGGGGCTTCAATTCAATTGGCTGAGCCAAATCTTTAGGCCCTTGTGAAAGGTCAGGAGGGTTGGGGCTGATGTCACATGGGGGGAGGGAGATGTTCCAGAGGGCAGGAACGACATCAGAGAAGGACCCCACCAGCCAGAATAATGGGGTTGATGGGTTCTGCCTCATGCCTCTTGCCAGCTTGTGTGGGACAGGCTTTGACCTCCCCTCAAGACCACAAATGTAACCAATCAGTCATGAAAAAAGAACTGGGATCTACCATACTGTGACAAATTTACAACAGATAGATGTTGTAGGGATTTTAATGCAGCTGTCAATAAGATTATAACTATTGGAAGGTTTTAAGAAAAATCTGAAAGATGGCCAACCGAATCCTCTGAACCCAGAACCTTCCCAATTGATTAGCTGTTCAGGAGGATGTAGATATTTCATGTAAATGTGAGGATGTGACCAGGGACTGATCCTGTTCTGGGCTATCGTGCTTATCCAACTCTCCTTTGTGATATGTTAGGTTCCCCTGTTGGTGGTCACTATTATAGATCATTTATATATCCTAGCAGAGTTTAACACTACTGAGTTACATAGCATACTATACTTTGCCCACCCACCCACTCTCCAAAATCTCGCAGTGGGAACATTGAATCAAAGAAAATCTCTCAAAAGCCAGGATTGAACCAAACGTCTCAGGGTAAGTGAAGTTGCGCTCCTGGTTCTTCACTCTACCTGCTCAGCTATGGAAGGAGACAAAGCATAAGGAATAACATCTCATTAACTCTTGTGATGCTGCAATCACCAGACTGAGATGGCTGGGAAGTGATATGGCCATACTTGTCGTTTCTATGGTGTAGTGGTTACCACATTTGCCTCACACACAAAAGGTTCGAAATCACTCCTTGCGGAAAGAAAAGGCAGGAAGAAGCTGCATTACTAAGACAAGCAAGAACCTGGTTTTATTTTCTATTTTATTGGTGAGGGAATGAATGAGGGGAGGCTGATTTCAAGCCACCAGTCAAGGAAGTCTAGTCATCCCAAGTGAGCAGACAGTGAAAAATTAAACCCTGTCTGAGTTTCAACTCCCAGAATTGTGAGCATGAGGAAAGGGAGGGTTTCCCACGCATAGCCTGCCTGAATCACCTTAAGCACAGGAGGAGGAGGTGGGAGGAGGGGATCCCCTGAGGTGCATCAACTAAGGATTTTGCCAATTTCTGAGGCTGATCTTGAGAAAAATGAGCTTCAACAAAGATTTCCTCAAGGCCCACAAATCACACATAATTCCAAGACATTAAGAAGAGGAAGTTGTAAAACTGTATAGAATCGGTCACCTATTTGGAAACGCAAGACTTGTGGAGAGACGCTTTCCTTCCACTCTCATGCTCATCATCCTTGGCCCCCGTGGAACCTGCTCTGGTCTTCTGCACCTTTGCAGGATCCCCTGGCATAGCGCACAGAGTCCACCAGGGGTCTCCCTCGTCAGCGGTTGGAAGGGATGGGCAGCCCCCTTTCAGAGGGAACTGAGCATGCGCCTGGCTCTCAAAAGTTCCCGGAAATGGCTGGGATCGTGTCTGCTTTTTCTGCGGAGTCCGATTCTTCTTCCCTCCGCTGTGAACTTTCGGCTGAGCCCGGAGGCCGAGAGGCTGGAAGGAATTCTCTCACGGGTGGAGATCCAGGCGTGACTCGGAGTGAGTGGGGCTCTTTCCTCTGGCGCTGGAGGGGAGCCAGGAGCATGCAAAGCTTCGTCAAGTTCCAAGTGGCGGAAAGGGGAGGGGGTGGAGAGTTCGAGTTCCCATGTTCCCCTGCCACCCCGTGGAAGAAAGGGACACGCAGGGCAGCTCCGCACCCGCCGGGTTTTCTCCAGGAAGGAAATCAGGGTCGCCAGAAAGAGGGGAACCAACGAGCCTCCGTTTCCTCCGGCAACCCTCTGCATGCGGGGAGAGGGAGAAGTTGCCTTCCCAAAGGTGCAGAATGTCTTGATTCCGGGAGAATTTCCTGCAGATTTCTCGGCCCTTTTCCAGAAGGGTTTTTCCTTCGTCTCCCCTTTCCTGGGCCCAGAGAAGCTACCTGCCAAAGTTGCCTTTGTATGCAAGGCTGCAGTTCTGTGTGTGAAGAGTTGAGTGCAAGGTGTGTAAGGACTGGAAGTCGGATTCCTCCTTTTCCACCTTTCCCCACCTTTTCTTTGGTGTCTCTGCCAGGAGGCAAACAAAGAACCTGTTACAAGAAGGGCCATGCATTGGACG